ATTCTCTTTCACAGTTTTTGTATGTGTATGTATTTTTTCTTTGTGATATCTCTGGGGCTTACATTAAAAAAATCTTATAAAAGACCATTTAAGCTCTTTATTCCTTAACATTTTGCTGTAGTTGCGTGGTTGCCATTAATCCTTTTAAAGAGAGATTTGGAAATCCATGTGTCATTGTTAAATAGCAGAGAATTTCTGAATTTGATTATAAATTTTACTCATTATTTTTGTATGTTTCATCTTGTGCCTTAGAGAGGACTTTTGTGTTGATTCTAGCTGAGCTGTTGAGCTCAGTGAATCCAGACGTCGCTATCTCCTTCAAGACATGGGAAAAATCAAGCGATTGCTTCATTCGGTGGCCTTTCTTTGTCTCTTCCTCCCTGGAGCGTCGATACTGCACACATTTGGCAGCTCAACGGTGTCTCATCCCCCTTTGTTTTTATTTGCTCGCTCTTTTTCATTCTCTTTTCCTTCTTTTTCCTCTAGTTTATTTCAAATTGCTGCCTTCAAATTAAGAAGGTTTTTCTTTTGCTTGATCTAGTCTGTTATTGATTCCCTCAAGTGAGCTTTTTACTGTATTAATTAAAGTCATCCATTTCAAAATTTAAAAAAAGGAAGGGCTAGAGAGAGAGTTCGGTCCTTACAAGCATTTGCTGCTCTTATGGAGGATTCAATTTCAGTTCCCAGTACCATGTCCAGTGGCGCACAACTTCCTATAACTTGGCACCTAGGGATCTAGTACCCTCTTCTGGCCACCATGGGCACCTACACACATGTAACATATACATACACAGACACTTACATGCACATAAATAAAAATTAAATAAACGAGTAAATAGCTCTCTAGTTCCCTGTTAGGTTCTTCACTTAGATCCTACACTAAGGATCTTGTTTAATTTGCCTCTCTCTGTTTGACGGCATCTCACTGACCTCACTTATGATCATTATTTTGAACTCTTTGAAAGCAGTTTATAAACTATTCTTTCTTTGGAGTCAGTTGCTGGAGAGTGATTGTGGTTCTTTGGTGATGCTGTATTTCCTGTTTTTTCAAGTTTACTCTCCTAACTGAGGTAGGGTTGCAAGACAACAGGAGATACAGGAGTGACTCTCTACTGGGTCAAGTGTGACCTCCCTATGGGAAGCCTGATCAGGAGCTGACTAGTCTCCATTGAATGTTTTACGGTGCCCTGGAAGAGGGTTGGCACAGTCTCATGAGCATGTAAGCATTAGCTAGATCTTGGGTCAAACATTGTTCTTTCTACTGGGAAGGACCTCCTGTTCCTGGGGAGCAGGTACCTTATGGGCTTTGGTGGACAGTCATGCTGTTCTACAAGTCTGTGATACCAGCTGAGGTCACAACACTATAACCATTTATGTGGCACAATGTGGGCATAGCCCTTCTTTGAAAATATGTTGGCGTTGTTTTCGTCTGTGTAAAGGAATACATATTCCACCTGTGGAAGTCATTAATGCTGATGGAAATATTTTGAATATTCTCCTGCCAGTGATGAGGTAATGTTGTACTTTCAGACTTGGACATTGAGAAGTGACCGGAGAACTGGCTCGTGGAAATGAGAAGAGCAGGGAAACAGTGCTTGGCATTTGGAGGAACTGTTTAGGAATTAGTTTGTGTGATTTGTGTCATTATTTCCTGCCTGTGGTATTTCAGATAAGGAAAGCTCTACTCCACCTTAATAAGTCTTTGAATAAGAATTATGTGCATCCAAGACATCACCAGCCTGAGAAAAATGTGGAGTGTGGAGATGGCTCAGTGGTTAAGAACACTGGTTGCTCTTGCAGAGGACCAGGGTTCAATTCCCAGCACCCACAAGGTGGTTAACAATGGTCTGTAACTCCAGCTCCAGGGGAATCTAACCTCTTACCTCTTCTGACCTCTGCAGGTATTGCAGGACATGGTTGCACTTACATACATGCAGGCAATACACTCATACAGATAACATAAATTAATAAATAAAAAGTTAAAAAAAGATTTTGGATTGCTCACTTCAGTAGCCAAAATGAGCCTTTACTGACTGCGATGTTTTTCAAGAAAAGAGCACAGTGAATAGTAGTTTATCAGAAGCACTTTACAAGCAGAAGCTTTTTAAAGTTTTAATGATCCTACAAAAGCAGCATCATGAAGCGACAGGGATTGTTTTTGGAGCTAGATGGCATGGGTCTGAAGTTTGATTCTACTGCCTAGTAAGCATGTTACCTCAGGCAAATTTCTTCAACTTTCTGGAACCAGTTTTCTTATAACATAGAACAATTCTCACATCACAAGATCATTATAAAAAATAAATAAATTAATGTTTGTCAAGTGCTTGGACGAATGCTTAGTGAGTCCTATCTATTCGTCTATCAAAAGTGCTTGGACGAATGCTTAGTAAGTCCTATCTATTCGTCTATCAATTATTTAGCATTTTATTCAGAAAATATATAAATAAACACTCCATGTAGTGTTTAGAGCAGAGTTTAGCACAGAATAAGATCTCCATGAATATTTATTTTAGTAATATTTAAAATAAAAAACAAACACTGAATAATAAAAAAAAATATTTTGCTGAGACTTTCCTCTAAGAAAGTTTGATAGGACAAAGGAAAACAGAAATAAACAAGGGAGAAGAGACCTTTTTCTTCTGATTTGAAGAAACCAAACCTGAGGCCATTCAGGTGAGATTTTCTCTGGGAAGCAGGCTGGACCCTTAGCTGTTACTGTCAGCAGACAAGAAACAGAGAACATGAGGGAATCCAAGAAGACAGACTAAGACTTTTCCTTGTTTTATCCATGTCATCCAGAGTTAAAGAAGACAGGCCACTTGTGACCCACTTGTGTGGGTCCATCCTGCCAATGTGGAATTAGCAGCTCTGGTTAACCTGGGGCAGTTTCCTTGAAATCTCATGGAAGTTTGACCCTGGGATTTGTCAGAATGGTTTATTCATGAGAATCATCTGAGTTAATCATTAAAAGTAACGATTTCCAAAATACCATGCTGGTTTAGGAGAGAGGAGCACCTGGAATTCTGAATTGCTAACACTTTCCTTAGGAGACCCTTCTGCCAGGTTGGGTTTGAGAATCCCAAACCCAGTCCTGTGGTGTGGACTATGTAACTGAAATACCACTGCCACCTCATGGCATCATATTCAAATTGCAGGTTCCAATGTCCTTTCGTGGTAGAAGGAAACAGTTGTTTAACCATCTTCATTTCGTTCTTAGTCACTGCTGCCCCACCTACAAACATGCTTTGTTTCCCATGTCATCTGTGTAGACTCCACTTCATTCTCATTCTTGAAGCAACAAAACATTTTTAACCATTAATTTATTCTTTTTCTTAAAAAACTGAATTTGAAGATGGTTTTGTCTTTTGGTTTTCTGTGATTCTAAACTCTGATGCCATCAGTTTATGCATTAAAAGAAGCAATATCCACTATAAAATGTTATGTAGACTGATCTATCACAGAACCTGAGAAAGAATCTTAATAAATACATTTCTGATAGGAATAATTAATTTAGCCTATTGAATCCTATGACAGACCAATAAAGAAATCAATCTATATTCAAAACCCTTTTGAAGGGTCTCACTGTAGCCCAGGCTGGCTATGAACTTGTGATCCTCGTGTCTTTGATCATGAAGTGCTGAGATTATAGATGCATATCATTGGCTATATCCAAAATCCTTGCTGCTTTTAGTTTGAGTTAATCCAGATTTTTAGTCATATATGAGAATGGTTATTTCTTAACTATTTAAGTTGGTTGTGAAATGAGCTTTTTGGAACTTAAACTCTGCGTGTTTTTACTCTTATCACTGAATAGAATGAGGAACAAGAGGAAGTACTGAATTCTTAAACACAGCTGTTGTTTTTCTTGGTTAACTAGGTGTCAATGTGAACAAAACATGGTACAATATGACTTTCAAATAAGCCGCATACCATTTAGGACCAGTGCAACAACTCTGTGACAAAACAGTTTGGAAATGTTTAAGATTTATAACTGAAGATTGCATGTTCTTTATAAAAAACAAAATAGATGTTAAAAAGAAGATGCTCATAAATGGGTTAGATGAACATTACTGGCAGATTGTTCCTAGCTGTCTTATTATTTGGTGCCCTTGCAGGCTTTATACAAAGGCTCATTCATTTTTAATTTTTGAAAATTTGATACATGTGTACAATGGATCTTGGTCCTCTCTATCCTTGGTTCCCTCCCTCCATGTCCCTCCCATTCATGTCTTTATTCATAAAAATAAATAAAAATAAAAATAAATTGTTCAGATGGATGATTGTTTTGTGGAAATGCTTTTGAAAATTAAAACTGTTGAGATAAAATTCACACAACACAAAACAAGCTGTTTAAAGAGAATGAGTCAGTGGTGTTTAGTATATGCCTGGTATTCTCCATCTTCAATATTGACCTAGCTCCAAATGATTTCTTTTATCCCCAAAGAAAGCTCTGTTTCCATATACCAATGTTTTAAAATGGTATGTGAGGTAAGTTTCAAGAGGCTTATAATGTTGTCTAATGTTTCAAAATTGTGTTACTCAAGAATCAAAAATCTCAGTGAACGGCTTTGTCTTGGATTGAGAATTTATATTGTCGCCAAAGCTTTTTTTAACCTATTTATGTCATTTGGGAGGAGTTTATAAGCAGAAGATTTACAGTCTCAAATGATGCAACTGGGACAGCAGTTAAACTGTGGAACACTGATGAAAAGACCTCAATGGCATGTCAACCGTGGGTACTGGCTTTGAAGATAGGACACATTGCTTTGCAAACAGAAAAGCCAGCAAAGCCTGTGCATTCTGTCTGTGGGTTTCTTTATGTGCATTTTATTAGAAAATAATAGGTTTATTTATGCATATTTGTGGGAAGCTGAGTAGACACAGGTACGTCACTGTCCACCAACTCAAGGTATAAAAAGCCATGTGCAGGAGGGATGCTTCATTCACCCTTGGATAGCTCCCTCTCCACAGTCTATTCAAATCTCTCCACAACTGCCACTATGACTCGTTATTTCTGCTGTGGAAGCTATTTCCCAGGCTATCCTTGCTATGGAACCAACTTCCACGGGACCTACAGAGCCACCCCCCTGAACTGTGTGGTGCCTCTGGGTTCTCCCCTGAGCCATGGAAACAGTATCTACAGCTCCAGAAATTTCTGCTATGGTGGTATCAGTAACTTCCACAATCCAGGCTGTTGCTATGGCAGTAGCCTTTACAGGCCATGGGGCTCTGGCTCTGGCTTTGGCTACAGCACCTACTGATGGACCAATGGCTGTGATGACTACAACCAGTGATCTGATGGACCTTCAACCAGTGATCTGTGCAAGGGAACAACCTGAAAAGCAGTGACTGTCCTCCTGCCTCCCATGTGCTTGGGAGAAATAGACTGTGGTCATGCTCTTCAGGGATGATGAACAAATGACCCAGAATTCAGATGCCAAGCTGACACTCTGCAGCTAAAGAGATCCAGACACACTTTTACAAATAACCTGAAGTCTGACAGTGCAGGAAGTAGCTTGCTTCCTGGGCTGTTCTGCCTATATATTAAACTGCATCAACGTCACTGTATTTTAAATTGGGTGTGGGTGGGAAGGGGTCTTACTGTCAGTCTCCCAATAAATCCGTTTCATTCAGCATATACATTTTTGTCCTTGTCTTTATTTTACCGTGTTTTTAATTCTCTGCAATTTCTAGTACCAAGTTTAATTAAATTTTATTCTGATGTCAGGAGAGGATGATATCTAATCATTTTTATATTGAGGTTTTAGTTTTTAAGATTTCTTAGAAATGTTCCAGTTTAATTCAAACACATTACAGTTGTTGGTATTTCTCTATGTTGATTATAAACAGAAAAATTGTTGTTGAATACTAAAAAAATATTTAATTACTGGAACAATCCAGTTTAGCCTCATTCTTTTCTTGTTATTCATAACCTCAGTGCTTAGCTCTAAATACTGCAGATTTTTGTGTGAATTACAACCCAGTAATGGACTTAGCTATGAAACTCCATATTTAGGGATTCCTCAGATGTCATCAGTAAAGGGAAGCCAACTGTTAAAATCACACAGCATGTTTTTCATTTTTCAATAGATGGGCTTTATTTTCTCTGCCTTCTTCACCTCTGATTATACACATAGCTAGTAATAAAAATGAAGTCTTTTCTTCTCTGGAATGATAGTTATCATCAAAAGCACTTGAGATGATATATACCCTGAACTTAGAAAATGTTCCCTCTCTTGCCTTTGGAGAAATCTCTCCTTTATTGAAGCACAATACTTTATGTTTTGAATTAAAGCCTGTGTGTCAAATATTTATTGTACTCTTGCCCCCAAGAAGATGCTTAGTTGATTGTTCATTGACTTGACTTGTTAGATTTCAGCTTTATGAGTACAAAATATTGTGTAGTCCATTATAAATTTCATTTATTCCTGCATTAGGAATGATTGACTCTGGCCTCTGTGTTAAGAATTCTGATGCTATTTAAACTCTCAAGCAGGTATTGGCTTGTTTGCGGAGCTGACTGTCTTCAAGAGGAAATAATTCACTCAACAGATAACGTGTTACTACAACACCAAGCACTGTCATAAGTTCTGGGGCAGGGGGAGGGGGCACAGAGATAAATAAAACACAGTCCTTTCCCTTAAGAGTTAAATACACTCTTTAATGTATAAAGAATTATAATATGTTTCCATTTTTCACCACTTTGTGGCATGTGTGATTATTCAAAGATATATATCATTCATTTCTTTTTCCCTCTTTCTCTCTGTCTCTGTCTCTTGTCTCTTTCTGTCTCTTTCACACACAATCCCACCACATACCAGAGTATGTGAGCTTGCACAGAAAGGAAGTTTGAGACCAAAAATATGATCATGAGAGGACTGAGAGTTACTTATCAAGACAGATGGGGATATTCGAGTGGGAAAATGAGTAGGGCTATGTCAGCATGTAACAAACCTGACAGAACTGACAAAACTCTAATCCATAGGCAGGATGATCTGTTGGTGGGGTGATCACAGAGGATTTGAGTACTGAGTGGGTAGCTGGGATCGCAAACTACCAGAAGTTTGTGGATTCTACCATCAAGGCTAATGTTTATTTTCTAAGGTCATATTGCTTTGAAGTTTGTCAATTGGACTTATTTTTTCATTTTGACAATTTGAAACCTACAAAAAAGTTGCTCTAACAACACACAAAAGATTTACTTGCCCAGATTTATTAAATATTCACATTTTGTCCCGTTTACTTTATCATTGTATAAAGTGTATATACAAGGCATATAATGTCATACTGTGTATGTATATGATATAGTCTCTTTATATATCCACATGTACCTATATTACATATGTCTTATCTCTCTTTTTGAATATATATGTGTGCTATGTATGCATGTTTGCCCTTGTATGGTGTATAGACTAGAGATTGATGTCAGGTATTGTCCTCGATCACTTTTTACTTTATATATTGAGGCAGAGTCTCTTCTTGAACCTGGAGCTCACTGCTTCAACTGGTCTGCCTAGTCAGCTTGCTCTGAATATTCCTGCCTCTGCCTTCTGAGCTCTTGCATTACAGGAGGGCCACCAATACCACCTGACTTTGTATACACATTCTGGAGATCTGAACTCTGGTCCTCATGCTTACAGCAAGCACTTTACCTGCTGAACCACCCCCAGTCTTTATGTTTCTCTTTATATACATACATGCATACACAATACTCACATATTAATATATTCATATATATTCATATGTGTGTGTATATATGTGTACTAATGCTGTTTGATATCATGATGCCATGAGTTTACTCTGTGAACAAAGACAGTATTGTTGTGAAATGCAGGAAACAATATTGATATCATACCACATGACTAATATTTTATATTATTACTTTCCATCCAACCTCCAGTGTATACTCACTGTTATGAATTTAATTGTTTGTTCCAATACTGTGTCGGGTAGCCACTTTTTTCCTGGTTCAGGATCTAAGCCCATATAACCTCTGTCTCTTTGATATTCTTTCATCTGGATCCATTCTTAAATTCTGTATATTTTGGCCTCCATCAACTTGAAGAACATAGAACAATTGTTTTGTAGAAAGTCCCTTTACTTGGATTTGTGAAATTCTTCCTCATCTTTCCATTCACGTAGCTCATCTTTGCAGAACTGCCTCAGAAATGAGACTATATCTTCCTCAGTGCTCTGTGTCAGAGATGTATTGCATTGGCTTATGAAGATTTGGTAAATATTGCTTTCCTATCACGTTGTGAAAGTAGTTCTTCAAATTTCCTCATATAAAGTTATTTCCCCATTTATAATTAATGATTGGTTTGTACAAAGATGCTTTAGCTGCCATGTGGGTGCTGGGAACTGAACCTGGGTCGTCTGGAAGAGCAGTCAGTACTCTTAACCGCTGAGCCATCCCTCCAGCCTCTATAAAGACACTTTAACACTATGAAAATAACCTTTTCTTTTTGAAGCAAGGTCTTGCTGTGAAGCCCAGGCAGGCCTCAAACACCTAACTCTCTTGTCTCAGCCTTCTGAGTTGCTGGGGTTATAGGTGTGCAGTACCATGCCTTGCTAACATCTTTTTTTTTTCTTTTGTGCTTTTACCAACTAATTTTAGGATCCATTCATAAGTTTCTTTTTTAAGTCTGTTTGCATTCATTAGTTGGCATTATGCTGTAAAAATAACTTTTAAATCTCCATTATTCTGTTTATTTATTTAAATAGTTATATGGACATGGGCTTATAGTTTATTTTACTCAGTTATTTACATTTCTTAAATATTGTTATTAATTTTGATTCTAAGTGTCCTAGATATGGATGGTAGAAACACATTCAAGGGTTCATTTAGTCGGGACAAATTCAGAAAGTTAGAAATCCATGATGTGTTTGTCCTGTGCTGTCACTGTTGTGTATCTCGCTAACCGCCTATTGAATGCTACGCCAGTCACTCTTAGGATGCTGTATCATCCTCTCCTGAGAAGGTGCACTGGAGCTCTGTGTTCGGCGACGGAGTTCATCGACAGGCAGGATTCGCTTTAACATATGGGAGAGACTGACCTTCAGGCTGGAGGGGGTGGTGGTCTCCAAAGATCTCCAGATGCCACGACTGTAAAGTGCACACTTCTATCACCCTGTTAACTCCCCGACTCCAAGTCTGGATTTTCATTTAACTACCTTGCCTCAGTTTCTGATCTAAACCTAGTATTTTGTTTCAGTTTAGCCTTGGTTTGGAAGGGAGCATTTGCTCCCTCATTGGTGGCCCTTACTCATTTTCACTCTTGCTTCCTCCACATGGTTTTCCTCCACCTCCTTTCCATCATGTAGAAATTTAATCTCTTTGATTGATGTTGTCTCTAAAATGCTTTCTGACATCTTTCACTACAAACTCTCCTTTATAGTACCAGTATAGTACATAGTTTACAGTTTATAGCATGTGTAAATAAAATTTTATTTAATTCTGATGACTATCTTGGGAGTTGGTATCATTTGAAGAAATTTCCAAAGATTAATTTTTCCAAATGGTAAATAGTCACTAAGTAGGAAAAATGAATGTAGAGCCCATATACCATGATGGAGTTTTCTGAGTCTGTCTGTGCCTACTGTTTCGCCACTAACAACAGGCAAAATATTGGCTATGTACTTGCCAATTTGGTCCTAACTGAAATTATCAAGATCTTTCAAGATTGTCACAAGCTTGTCAAAATTTTAAAATAATTATTAGTTTCACTTTTAATCTGAGTACTAGCCCCTATAACGTCACCTCATCATTATCTATAAGAAATTATGTCTTATATGTGAGTAGACATCCTGAAGTAATAGTAGGAGCCAGGAAAATGAAAAGGAAGCACAGGGGTAAAGGGAAAGAAAGAGCCTGAGAGAGGGGATAATAGGAAACAGATGTTACCAAAGGGGAAATGGGGAAAATGGGGATATTCAACTGGGAATGGAGGAGTGAAGGACATACAATGGGGGAACAATTGGGGAAAAGGGGAAGAAGGAACTCAAGAGAGCTAGGCATTATAAAGGGGAAATGGGGGCACTTAAACGGGGGAGGGATGAGGAGGTTAGACAGGGAGGGAGAGGGGAGAGATAAATAAAGCTTAGGTGGCGTAAAAAGCCAGAGGGGTATGTATTAACTCAAAAATCCCATGAAATATACACATATAATATCTTTACATGAGTGTATGTATATATCTGAAGGCTACATAGCAAGAAACACAGTGAAAGATAGGAGAAAGATCCCTTTGCATTGTTGGTCAGG